GGGGTGGGAGGGCAGTAGATGGGGGGAGGGGGTTGTTACTTTGTGAGGGGTGAAAAGGATAACTATTGCATTGTTCTGTACACCTGAAACTAACAATAAAAATAAATAAAATAAATAAATAAATAAATAAAAGCACAATAAAAGCTATAGGAAAGAATGAGGCTTTTTAAAGAAAAAAAAAACAAATAGTACAAGTCTTTATCCTGAGCTTCACACCTGCCTTCAGACCATGGCAACTTGAATGCCTCCAAGTCAACATACCTGAAAATGAACTTGTGGTTTCCTTCTTCCTAGATGTGGTCATCCTTGGATTCACCTGCCTCTTACCCCTTGCTCCTCACCCTCAGTAAAAGGCCCCATGTCGTTGCTAGTTCATGGCAGGAATCAGGAAACCACTTTGGACATTTTCCTTTCCCTCAACTCCATTTAACCTCCAAGACTAAATGACAGTTGTATGTTCAAAACTTTAACTGAAATTCTTTGAGGCACATGAATGAAAATGAATCACAGAGAAATAACAGTTATGAAATGTTTCTTTAAAAAATAGCTGTGTTCTAGCCAGGTATTATTATAATTGAGATTGTTTTGATCTCTACATATCTCTCAATTTTTTTTTTTCCTCTAAGGTGATTTTAACAAGTTCAAAGCATATTGACAAATCCTATATGTATAAGTTCCTAGAACCATGGCTTGGCTTAGGACTTCTTACAAGGTACGTCAGTGTAAATTTCTAAAGCTGTCTCATGGGTAACTTGTTATGTCAACCATTGACACAAGATAGTCTTCCTATGGCAAGACTGTGCTATCAGGTCATAGGGAGATGCTGGAAGGAAAGGTTGGGTGGAAATGGGCCTTTGACAGACAGAAATCCAGGTTGTACAGTGATCTCTAGCCATGGTGTTCAGTAATGATGATCACCAGTGTTCCAAGAAGAATTAGAAGGTCCCGGCGTAAATGGAGTAAAGGAAAAGAGAGTTTGGAGCAAGGAAATTTTGAAAATTCAGTGAAAAAGGCAGTCAGCCTCAAAGAAGTATAGTGACCTCAGCCTTTGAGTTGGCACCCAGAAAAAATAGAACTCCATTGACTGAGAAAGAGAAAGAAAGGTAGGAACTTTGTGGGGACTTGGGAGAATTCAAAGATAGTAGAGATCAGAGTAAATTCATGGAGCATATTGATCTTTTGAGGGTTAAGGTAGTGATAAAGGGGAGAAAATAAATTCTAATTTTTAGAAACTTATAGCTTACAAGTTTAGAAAAATCCTAACTTTTTAAAATTTTTATGATTGCTTTTTAAATATTGATATAGAAAAATATCCATGTTCTGTAATTATATATGAATCTTTCTTTGTCATTCTGACCAAAGCATTTGAGAATCTGTAGTTTTAAGCTGTTTCAGTAGAATTTTGTTGTCTTGACTATACTTTGTTTTGGATATTGCTTTTCTTTCATTTGTAACCATGTATTGTATTTCTAGTACTGGAAACAAATGGCGCTCCAGGAGAAAAATGTTAACACCCACTTTCCATTTTACAATTCTGGAAGAATTCTTAGATGTCATGAATGAACAATCAAACATATTGGTTAATAAGTTAGAAAAACATGTTAACCAAGAAGTATTTGACTGTTTTATGTACATCGCTCTTTGTGCCTTAGATATAATCTGTGGTAAGTCTCATTGATTTGTTTATAAAACTATGGTGTAAGGATAAAATAGCCTAAATAGAAAATAACATTCCGTTGGGAAGCAAATGAGGGGTTTGGAAAGGATATTGGACTCTTCTGGGTGGTCCTATGCTAAATTAGCCGCCTGAGAGGCAGCAGGCACTACGAGGGCTTTGAGCAGGGCAGCCACAGAACCAATATGCCAGGGAAAAAAGGGTGGGAACAGGGAGTAGGAGAGCAAAAGGTACAAGAGTGAAAAGGGGGTTGCACAATTCTAAAATATATAAGAACTTAGGTCTTTTCTCAAATGTCTACCACTGGAAAATAAACACAAAGTATGTGCATGAATTGAATGGTTGCTTCTCACCCATATCTTACAGAAACGGCTATGGGCAAGAATATTGGTGCTCAAAGTAATAATGATTCTGAGTATGTCCGTGCAGTTTATAGGTAAATGGAGTCCTTTTAATTATTTTAAAAAATTGTTTTTGGTTAAGGCTTTAAAAAATTATCACTAACAATTTTTTTGTCTGTGTTGTATTGTTTTCATTGTTCTAGAATGAAACATTATACTAAAAATCAACCTAATCATTTAAGCATGTATTTCAACAGTAGAGGAATGGTTGTATAAATTACGACACACCCAGATTATGCAGTAATTTTAAATGATTATTTTATAATATTTCAGAGATTACGTTATGGTGCTAAGTGATAAAAGAAAGATAAAAATAATTTTTTAATTTATTTTTTCAGGTTCAGTTGACATTCAGTATTATTTTATTTATTAGTTTCAAGTGTACAGCATAGTGGTTAGACATTTCTATAATTTAAGAAACGATCTCCTCACTACTCTAGTACTCACCTGGCACTATACATAGTTGTTACAACATTACTGACTCTATTTTCTATGCTGTACTTCACACACTGGTGACTATTTTGTAGCTACCAATTTGTATTTCTTCTCTTCACCTTTTTCACCCAGCTTCCCAACCTCCCCTCTCCTCTGGCTACCATCAGTTTGTTCTCTGTATCCATTAGTCTGTTTCTGTTTTATTTGTTTGTTTGTTTTGTTCTTTAGATTTCACATTTAAGTGACATCATATGGTATTTGTCTTTCTTAGTCTGACTTATTTCACTTAGCATAATACCCTCTAGGTCCATCCATGTTCTTGCAAATAGTAAGATTTCATTCTTTTTCATGACCAAGTAATATTCCATTATATATATATATATATATATATACACACACACACATATATACATCATCTTGATTTATTGATGATTTATTGATTTTATATATATA